AGGTATTAATAAAACATTTTTATTTCAGTATCTCAAAATTCAATGATATTCTATAATTATTTATGAGAAAGACAAAATTATAACAATTACGTAAGCATTACCAGGCATGACATTAATTAAGGTTATAATATAATTAAGGTTATAATAATCTGTTTCATCTAAATCGGATATAAAATTAAAATATAGAATAGGATAAAATATAGGATACAATCATTTAAAATTTATGTTGTAATATTAAATTAAATATAACATATTGTAAAAAACGGCAATTGTTTATCATTTGAGTATATCAAACATACAAATTATTAGTTTTATTTTTTAACTAATTATGGAATTTTTCAGATGCACCTTTGTACATGCTAGGGATACATGCAATACATGTGAGGTACAATTATTACTGAGATCATTCTATGTATTTCCTTGTGGTCATAAATTCCACAGTGATTGTTTAGTAGCAGCGTTAACACCAATGTTATCAATGGATCAAAGAACAAAGCTAGCAGATCTTCAGCAACAGCTTACTGCTATCTCCAATCGTTCCGAAGATACAACTTCAACAACTTCTGTATCATTGTCTAGGAGAGATCAGATCAAGGTCGACATTGATGAATTGGTCGCTTCAGAGTGTCTCTATTGCGGAGAACTTATGATAGAGTATGCAACTGAACAATTTCATAGTTTGAAAAATTTCAATTACAAAATTCTAAAATTTAAAAATTATTTACTATTGAAATCTGAGTATTTTTAAAAATAAGTATAATAAGATTACATAATTTATAAATGATTTTGGACTTTAATAAATCGGTTTAATGATAATGATTATTCTTTACAGATCAATAGACAAGCCATTTATTGAAGAGGAGGATTATGAACGTGTGATGAAGGAATGGACATGATAAAGTTTTCTCGCTAAAAATGTGATAAAACATGTTTATCATTCTTTCTTTTCAAAAAAAAAATTATACGTTCTGTACTGTATATTTACATATACTTGATCATTGTATCTTGATCATAAAGACCTGAAATACTTTCCAAAGTATTACTATTAATTTTTTTATAGTTATAATGAATTAAAAATGCGTAAATTAGAAAAACATTACAAGGAAATATAGTGAACATTAGCTTCAGACTTTTGTTTATTTGATATCATGTGATGAGATCATTGCCTCTTTCCTCTTCCTCTCCTTACGCACGCACGCACGCAAATCACTTTATAATCGTTGCCATATCAAGAATTTATTACAAAATCATCAAAAGTATGTCGAATGAGATTACGATTTTTCTTAAAATGACTTCTTTTTGATATCTTGATCTTATGATGATTATATCTCGATCCTTCACTCGATTCCGCCAGATACCGACTATACCGCTATTCTGTGAGTTTTGTATCTCTCGCTATCTCTATAGATATCGCCACTCCGCTTTTGCGAGCGCTGTATCTTTCGCACAAAATCAAATATTTTGACGTTATCCCAGTCAAATCTATGATTTTGATTAATCATATGCTCAGAAATGACCGAATATTTTGATAGTTCTTAGTGTTGTACATATGTACCTTAATTCTAGTTTTTAACAATCTTTTTGTCTGCCCAACATACGAGTCCTTACAGTCCATACAATTAATCTTGTATATCATATTATTATTCATTATTTTTGGATTGATGTCTTTATGGACTCTTATAAATTTACTAAGGCTATTGATGACTCTATATCCTATGATGACTTCAGTATTTTTTATCGATGAGGCAGTAAGTTCGGAGATTTCCCTCAGATAAGAAACGATGAAGAACTTTTTCTTTTTTTATATTCATGGAGTCCTCGGAAGCAGAACTTCTATTCCTCGTATCCCTCTTATTTTGTTTGTTATTAAGCAAAGTTTTTAGTCTCTGATTTATCTTATTAAAAATAATTTTGAGCGGATAGCCATTATCTATTAAAATGTTAACGCATAATTTCAAGTTTTTTTGTATAAAACGAGGATGGGCAAGAAGCACTATTGGTCAAATTGAAAATAGAGTCTATCTTATGGCATGAGTGGTTAGAGAGAATTCTCCCAAAAAACATCTTTTTGTGAAACCAATCGATCTCTATTTTGTTTTTATTGATTATTAGATTCAAATCTAGAAGTTTAGACTCGGATTGGTTTTAATTTCTAAAGTGAATTTAAGGCGTTCATGATAGTCGTTGAACTTTTCTAAGATGAGGGAAACCTCATCCCTGTCAATTGCCATAATTATGTCGTCCACATAGCGATAGTACAAAGATGTGGAAGCGCTAACGGTATATAAGCAATGTTCTTCTAAATCCTGCATGACAATGTCAGCAATGATGGGCGACAATGGAGAATCCATTGGTGTACTAATGGTTTGTTTGTATATTCTATCGTTGAATGAAAAGTAAGTAGAGGACAAAACAAATTGCAAGGCGGTTAAAAATTTATCCTTCGGACTCAACTTATTCTCACCTTCACAATAATGAATAATTGTGAAGAATTTTATTATGTTGACGACGAACTTTATTATACGACTGTGCATCTGGTGCATTTTCTATCTCAGTGAGCTATCCAAATAAAAAAGGAGGGTGTGCGTCACAGTGGGGCTTGACCACGAACCAGTCGTGAAAACTCGTAATTATTTTGCAAAAAAATACCACCTCAGTCAGAAATCGAACTTGGATCTCCTGCTTACCGGGCAGGCATCTTATCCCTTCGACTACCGAGGCATGTGATGATATTTATCGCAAATAACGTGTTTAGAATAACACATTATTATATATATATAGAATAACACAATAATACAATGATATACATATATACATATATTACAATATACATATATACATGTATTCTCTCGAATCCCCACGACCGGTACTCCAAAAAGATGATGGTCCTATTCTCTCGATGGATGCAAGTCGGATTGTAGCGGCGCCATCCTCCAACGTCATTGGCAAATATACAAATAATCCTCCTGGAGCACGACAGGAGAGATTGCATCAAGCATGGCTCGAGCCCCCGAATAAGAAGAAAGAGTGTGCGTCACGGCGGGGCTCGACCACGAACCAATCGTGAAAACTCGTAATT